TGCACTATCCAATATAAATTTTACATTTTAATTCATTTACATTAAAATAGACAGAGATAAAGGACATTTCCACAACTGTAAAAAAACACTGCACTGCTCCAAGTCCTGTACTAGAACCATGAGTAAGTTTACCCTTCCTGTTTCCAGGCCTCAGCATCTAAATGCATTGATATTTCTTGGGGTCATATTCACTGAATTAAGTTACTGCTGACTTTAGGGTCATAATAGATTTTATGCTTTATTTTCCTAAAAGTTTTCTAAACTTAAAAAAAAAATTACTTACTCTTAAGTGATGCAACTTGTATACCACAGAGAGTTTCATGATAGTAAGAATGATTTCTCTTTCCACATGGGACTAAAGAACTCAGGTGCCCAAAATAAAAGGTTATTTAAAAAAACAATTACAGTAGATAAAACAATAAGAATATCACGACTACTTGAGAGCTTATTTCATTTAGCTAACAAACATGAAGGCCCTTAAAAGATATTTTCTGAGAGGACACTTTTTTTTTTTTAGTATTGTTTAATTAACTAATTAATTAGTTCATTTTAATTTGACCAGAGAGTGACAGGGGCGGGGGAGGTAGTGAAAAAGCAAGCTTCCAAGTCCAGTACTCAAACCCCTGTTGACCAAGTAGAAGCTGTCAGGTCTGGACTTGAACTGCAGTCTGCGCTGTGGGAGTCCAGCGCCTTAACCACCACGCCATCTGCTGGCCCCCTGTAGAGAACACTTTTGGTTTTTTTTTTTTTTTGGAGAGATTTTTACTGTAGGGCGTGTGCGCTCGCCAGACAGACAGAGAGAGACATAGAGACAGAAAGCGAGAAATCACCCCCCAGGGGGGATGGTCACGCCGCAATCCCTTCTCCTCCATTCTCCTCTCGGGATCTTGGGCACGCACGCACACGCGCCCGGCGTGAGTTTTAAGCCACCGGGTCCGGGACACGAACCGCGGTCGACTACGTGGGAGTCCAGCGACATAGCCATTACGCTAACTGCTGGTTCCCAGTAGTGCTGCTTTTGAGAATCCCTGGGTTAGAGGTAAGTGAATTTCCAAAGGAGCATGAAGTGCTGCGTTTGACTTGGACCAGGGTTTTATAGACTTGGGCATAAACTTCCCCAAAACTGCTTAAAATCAGCAGTTTGTTTGATTGGATCTTTCTGCCATCTTCCTCTAGAAAATGATCCATTGAGTAAAAAATAGAGAGCTAAGACCATAAACTTAAAAGAGGTGTCTTCCCTTCTGTCTTAAAGAGAACAAAGCAGAAGAAATAAGGTTATTCAGGTGGTGTTGTTGAATTGAGAATTTTTTTTAACTTTATTTATTATTATTATCATTATTATTTTCCAGTTTGATCAGAGAGACACAGAGGGAGAGAGAGGAAGTGAGAAAGCAAGCCACCAGGTCCGAGACTTGAACCATGGTCGGCCATGTGGGAGTCCAGAACCTTTAACCACCATGCCACTTGCCGGCCCCTGAATTGAGAATTTTGATTATGCAGTATTCCTTATTCCTTTAAAGCAGAACTTTGTTATTATCTAAAATTACCATAATTTCTTTTAAAAAATTACTTAATGCTGTTTATTATTATAATCTTTAACTTGCAATAGGCACAAGTGCTCACTAAAGAGAGACAAAGAGAAAGAGAAAAGGAAAGTGAGAAAGCAAGCTGCCAGGTCTGGACTCAAACTGCAGTCTGCCCTGTAGGAGTCCAGCACCTTAACCAC